AAAAATTTATTTATTATTTGTATAAGTGTATTTCCTGAATGTATGTGAGTGCACCCATGTCATGCAGTGCCGTGGAGGTCAAAAGAAGCTTTGGATTCCCCTGGAACTGGAGTTAAGGACAGTTCATAGATGCCATGTGGGTGTTGGGAATCGAACCCGGGTCCTCTGCAAGAGCAGTCAGTGCTCTTAACCACTGAGTCATCTCTCCGGCCCCGGGATTTTGATTATGGTAATTGAGGTGAAAAGACTTGCCCACCATGGATGGTACCAGTCCCAGGGTTAGGGGGGATGGACTGTGTAAGAGTGACGAGGGCAGGCTGAGCACTGGACCCATGCACTCCTGACTGTGGATAGAGTGTGACCAGCTGTCTCAAGCTCCTGTCATTGTAACTTCCCTAGCAATGAGGGGGCCCCGGGATTTTGATTATGGTAATTGAGGTGAAAAGACTTGCCCACCATGGATGGTACCAGTCCCAGGGTTAGGGGGGATGGACTGTGTAAGAGTGACGAGGGCAGGCTGAGCACTGGACCCATGCACTCCTGACTGTGGATAGAGTGTGACCAGCTGTCTCAAGCTCCTGTCATTGTAACTTCCCTAGCAATGAGGGACTGTAACCTGGAACTGTGCCCCAAAATAAACCCCTTCTCCCCTAAGTTGCTCCTGTCAGGGTGTTTTATCACAGCAACAGAAATGAAACTCAAGACATGGAAAGAGCACATCGACTCCCAAAGTTGTCCTCTGACTTCCACACGTGTGTGTGTGTCATGGCAGGTTCACTTGCACTCACACACAAAAATAATAAATTAAAAAATTTTAGGGTCTGGAGAGATGGCTCAGCAGTTAAGAACACTGGTTGTTCTTGCAGAAGATTGGGGTTCGAATCCCAGCACCCACATGGCAGCTAACAACTGTCTGTAACTCCAGTCCCAGGGGATCCGACAGCCTCTTCTACCTCCAAGGGCATTGCACGACTCGGGTACACTTACCTACATGCACACGATACACACATACACATAAAATAAAAATAATAAAAAAAAATTTTTTTAACTTTAAAAGAAAACACAGCTGGGCATGGTGGAGTATATCCTTAATCCTAGCCCTCAGGAGGCAGAGGCAGGCAGATCTCTGTGTTTCAGACCAGCCTGGTCTACCTAGTAAGTTCCAGTGAGACCCTAAAGGAGAAAAGGAAGTGCATACACGATTACAGAGATGCACGAAAGAAAGAGTGCCCTCAGGAGCTGGGCACCTCTAGATACTGCAGATCTCTAACTCCAGCTGTTTGGGGCACTGAGGCACAAGGATCACAAGTTCAAGTATTGCCTGGGAAATTTAACCAGACCCTAACCCAACTTTTTTTTGGGGGGGGGGTCTTTTTGAGACAGGGTCTCCCTGTAGTCCCAGCTGACCTGAACTCACTATGCAAGTTTTTAAAAATTTAGAGACTGGCCGGGCGTAGTGGCACATGCCTGTAGTCCTAGCACTTGGGAGGTAGAGACAGGCAGATCTCTGTGAGCTCAAGGCCAGCCTGGTTTACATAGTAAGTCCCAGGACAGCTGGGGCTACAGGGAGACCCTGCTTCAAAAAGAAAAAAAGAAAAAAAAAATTTAGAGACTGGAGAGATGGCTCAGCTGTTAAGAGCACTGGCTGCTCTTGCAGAGGACCTGGGTTTGGTTCCCAGTACCCATATGGCGGCTAACGACAGTTCATAACTCCAGTTTCTGGGGATCCTATACCCTCTTCTGACTTCCTTGGGCATTGCATGCACAAGTGCACTTACACACATGCGAGCAAAACACTTATACACATGAAAGAAAAGTAAGTAAATAAAAATATATAAATAAAGCCGGGCATGGTGGCGCATGCCTGTAGTCCCAGCACTCACTTGGGAGGCAGAGGCAGGCGGATTTCTGTGAGTTCAAGGCCAGCCTGGTCGACATAGTGAGTTCCAGGACTGCTAGGGCTACAGGGAGACCTTGTCTCAAAAAAAAAAAAAAAAAAAAAAAAAAAAGAAAAAAAATATATATATATATGTATGTATGTATGTATGTATGTATGTATGTATGTATAAATTTAGGGCTGGAGAGATGGCTCAGCAGTTAAGAGTACAGGCTACTCCTGCAGAGAACCTGGGTTCTATCCCAGCACCCACATGGGGGTTAGCAGCTGTTCATAATTCCAGTTCCAGGGGTTGCAACACCCTCTTCTGTCCTCCTCAGGCACCCCACAACACAAGTGCACTTACACACATGCAGGCAATACACGCATACACATAAAACAAAAATAATAAATAAATAAAAATTAAAAATAGGTTGAGACATAGCTCAGCAGTAAAGCACTTGCCCAACATGCAGGAGGGGGAAAAAAAGAATGCCCTTGGTGAACAAGGTTAACATCAAGCCTCTGCCTAGAGCCAAGTCCCAGCACTCTGCCCCACAGACCTCTCCCACCTTGGGTCTGGGAGCAGCAGGAAGCATCTCCTGCATGCAGGGTCCCAAAGGCAACCTGGAGCCTGGGAGGAAAATAGGTCACCCTCCAACTTAGGGCCTCCTGCACTTTCTCAGCCTTTATAAACACACAGCCCATTTGCTAAACAAAGTTCTCACGCCCCAGGTGGGGAATCATGACATCCTTTCCATCTCCTACCAAGCCAGGAATGTATCACTTCCTGTGTGCTTTTAAAAGCTTGTGCTGGTTTTGTTGTTGTGTTTTATCTATTTTTATTCTTTTTTTTTTTTTGGAGAAAGGGTCTTGCACTGTAGCCCAGGCTGGCCTTGAACTCCCTCCAGAATGCTGAGTCTACAGGTATGAGTGGTCACACCTGGCTGGTGCTGAGTTCTTTCTGTATGTTACACTGAATCCTGACAATTATGTGGAAATGTTACTCCCCGCCCCCCGCCTGCCCCTACCTTCTAATAAAGCAACAGAGTCTCAGGGAAACTGAGCCAGGAGTCCAAAGGAACGTAGTTAAAATGTGGTAGAGCAGGGGTTTGGGTAGATCAAGGCCTACCAGACTCTAGACTGCTCAGTGCAACCCTTCTGCTAACCTTGACACCAGAGCAGGCAGTGCAGAGCCACAGAGGACAAGGGCAGCCTTCCCCTGTCCTTCTGAGACCCACCAGGGACTCTCCACTGCCAAAGTATTAGTGGCTCAGTCACACATAGTCCAGATCCCCCAAGACACTTGCAGGGTGCTCCCCACTGCCAGTACCAAATTCAAGGATGTTTCCAAGGTCTCCTGTGACCTCAAGAGGAAGGAGCACACAGGCCAGGGTAGAACCTGCCTCCAGGGATAGAGGCCAAAAGTCACTGCACCAGCCACCAGCCAGCTTATCTTCTGAGAGTGGGAAGTGGGAAGGGCACATGGCCCTATCAGGCTAGCCCTGGGGCTGGGGGTGAGAGGGATGGGCAGGTGGACAGGCAGGGTGAAGTTCTAGGGCTAAGGAAACTGCCACATTGTCAAGGGCAGAAGGCATCCAGCCAGGAGGCTACAAGTAAACGGTGACCTCCAGAGGCCAGGGCCTGGGTTAAGCCCACGAGTCCCTTCAGTCTGGTTTGGTCTTGAGTGATACAAAGGAACATCAGTGGACCGAAAGCTATCCTTCCCTGAGAACTTCAGTATGCTCTCCACTACAACTCTTGAGTCGAAGACAACCACAGTTTATCTCAAGATTGTGGAAACTGAGGTTCTGAGAAGTGAGGGGGATCCCAAGGCTGCCGTGCATCCCACCAGCTGCTGCTGCTGGTGCACAGTGATGTATGCCACACCTGAAGGGCTTCAGGACCCTAAGCTTCTGAGATGGCCACATGGAATTACACAAGGCCAGCCTGTCCTAGGCTCCTAGATACATATCCTAGGCTCGTAGACACATGTCCTAGGAGCCAGGCAAGCAGAGAGGGGAAACTCAGTCTGGTGTCTATCTGCAGGAGAATCCAGTTACTTTTGGCTGTCCCCCTCCAAGAGAAAGGAAACCCCACCTGCCCCTCAATCCTGCTTCATTGACAGGAAGAGTCCAAGTCTACTCCCGCCCCCCCCCCGCCGTGTACTACCTACCCCAACCCAGGGTGACCACCTCTCCTGCTACATAGTCTTGAGCAGGCTGGGTCTCTGCCCGTCCATCGTGGCACTTAGGACACCAGGCTTTCCATCCCAGGCCCTCCTTCCCTGGGTGGGACAACCCCCCTAATGCCTCTGGCTCTGGCCATCACCCCTCGTTCCACCTTCACCCGACCATGTCCCCAGCCCACGCACAGTCTCGAGCCACCCCATCCCGGGACACCTCAGTTGTCCCAACGCAGCCCCGGCCCTGGGCAACTCCACCCTGGACCTCAACGACACTCCGAGCTCCTCGAGCTGCTCCTTCCTTTCTGGCCTCGACCTCCGCAAGCACATCCCGGGGGTGTGCAGTCCCCACGGCGGGCACACCTGCTCCTCCCAGGCCCCTGTCCCGATGCCCGCGACGTTCCAGGCCCGGGAGTCCCCTCTCGGCCCCGGCTCCCTTCTCTTTTCCACCACGGAGGCCAGGCATCCCCACGCGCGCGGCCGCTTCCCTGCACCCCGGGCACCTTCCCAGACCCGCGGGTCCGAGGACGCCCGCGCCCACCCCGACCCCTGCGCGGCCGGGGCTCAGCCTCACTCCGGGGCGCAGCCGCTCTGCTCGCCCGCGCAGGGCACCCGGCGGGCGGCCACTCACCGTGGACCCCATCGCTGCGGAAGGGCAGCGTCTCCTTCCCAGGCGGCAACACAACCAAACCGAGGCCGGGGGCGTGGCCTCCGGCGGGGGCGTGGCCTCCCGCCAGGCAAACTCCGCTCTGACCAATCAACGTCTCCAGATTGCTCCGCGCCGCTGTGGCCCTTGGCCAATGGGATGAGCCACGTGACCTCATTGACCCTCGCCTCTCCCGCCCTCTGCCCCGCCCCCTAAGTGCGGTTGAGGCGCGGAAGTGGCTTTTTCTCTCCTGCGATTGGTCTTTGGGATTAAATTGACAAAGGTGGCTTGAGTGGGGCGGGGCCACGAAAGTCAGCCGCCACCACCCCACCACCCACATACACACCTCCGGGGGTTTCTGGAAGGCATGGGGGTAGCCTGAGCTCTCGCACCCCGGCTCCCCACAGGGACACGCCTTCCTGCAGTTCAAGAGTCCTTTTTATTCATTCATTCATTCATTCATTTTTTAATTTGTGTTTTTTTATTTTTTTGTCTTTTTTGAGACAGGGTCTCCCTGTAGCCCCAGCTGGCCTGGAACTCACTATGTAGACCAGGCTGGCCTCGAACTCACAAAGATCCGCCTGCCTCTGCCTCTCAAGTGCTGAGATTAAAGGTGTGCGCCACCATGCCCGGGATATTTATTTATTTTATGTGTGTGAGTGTAGTGCCTGCAGGTAGGTAGGTGCACCTGTGTCATGCGGTGCCCGCCGAGGTCAGAAGAGGGCGTCGGATCCCCTGGAACTGGAGTTAAGGACGGTTTGTAGCCGCCATGTGAGTGCTGGGAATCAAACCCGGGTCCTCTGCAAGAGCAGTCAGTGCTCTTAACTGCTGAGCCATCTGTCCAGCCTCTCATTCATTTGTTTTATGAGTCAGATTCTCACTATGCAGCCTTGACTGGCCTAGATATCACTATGTAGACCATGCTGGCCTTGAACTCATAGAGCTCCACCTGCCTCTGCCTCCCCTGATACTGGGACTAAAGCCCCAAGCTCACAAGTCCATTTCAAATCCTATTGCTTGGGTTTCCCTCACAAGCCCCCTTCAGCAGCTGCCAGTATCTACCTTGTCCTGGAACCATCTAAGTGCCTTCTCTTTTGCCTCTCCCCTGTGACACACACACACACACACACACACACACACACACACACACACACTCGGGACCTTAGGGTTTTGATTTACTGCAGCATCCCAGATACATAGAAAGCACAGTGTCTGACACAATGCTCAATGTGAGTTATTCATTGTGAGTTACTGAGTGAATGATCAACCTGTACCTGTACTGGTACAAAGCTCTTAGAAAATAGGGCTGGATGCTGTGCAAATGAACACTGTGGACAGCTACAGACAAATACAGGCAAATAAGTAAATGGATCGATGGACAAATTATAAAAAAAAAAAAAGACATAGTAAACACAGAAACATGGGGTTCGTGAATTTCCACTGTGTAGTGATAAGAACATCAGCAGAGGGTCCATAATGTAGGGTTGAACTGATCAGTGACTCTGCCACTCAATCACTGGAGGTTTTTCAAAACTGGGCTCCACCTGCTCTGAGAACAGTACCCAGGAAGTCAGGTTCACCCTGCACGACAGGAGTAGGTGATGGTGAAGCAGGGTAAGCACAGGCAGATACACAAAGCCAGGGAAGGACAGGCTACCAGCAGGTTAAAAGATGAAGCTTTGAGGGAGGGAGCAAGGACAGGTAACAAGCCCCACGCCCCTGGCCACTGAAAGGCCTTGGAGGCAGGAGCATCTGAGGGGCACCCTCCTGCCTGTCTATGGCTGTGAAATACTGGGTTCAAGGTCAGTGCATGCTCTTGCCCCAGAGTAGTCATTTTCTCCACTCTGGCAGAGATAACTTAGGCCTCCCAATCAAGACCTGTACCTCTCATGCACAGGGTTCCAAGTCTTGACTTCAGTGTATTCTTCCTCCCTGTGAGCCCTCTCTATGTCCTCCCCTTACCCAGGTGAAGAAACCTAAGGGCTTGTCCATGGCCTAGTCCTGTAGTGTCACCAAGGTAAAGGGCAGAAGAGAGAGTTGGTTGTCTAGAGAATGTAAGTCCCAGGGGAAAAGAAAGTAGAAAAATTGGATGAGAGAGGGCCTCGGTGGCCTGGAGACAGGGTTCAAGTAAAGAGAAAGGGAGATGGAGGGGTAAAAATAGAGGACAGCCAGCAAACACGTAGGAGGAGCCAGCAGAGAGGGCTGCACATTTTAGAGATCTATTGCACAACTGCAAGGTGATAAGGGCTAGTCAGGTATTGCTTGTTTCAAAACTACTAGAGGCAGAACTGGAATGTCCTCAGCATGGACACGAGACAAACAGGTGAGGGAGGAGATGAAGTGTTAATGAGTGTGATGCCATCACTCTACCATGTAACAAACACCCACTTAGCACTCTACACCCTCTGTATATACAATTCCTTTGAAATTTTTAAAAGACTGATTTACTTTTATGACTGTTTGCCTCCATGTATGTATGTATGTGCCCCGTGTGCTTGAAGTGCCCCCAGAAGCCAGAAGAGGGTGTTGGAGCTCCTGGAACTGGAGTTACAGACAGTTGTGAGCTGCCAGTTGTGGGTGCTGGGAACTGAACTCAGATCCTTTGCAAGAGCAGCTAGTGCTCTTAGCCACTGAGCCATCTCTCCAGCCCTCATATATGTAATTATGTATATGTAGATTTATATATATAAAATTATTTTAAACAAATCTTTTAGTAAGGCTTGGCAGCACTCACCTGTAATCCCAGCAAAAATGGTGGCACAGGCCTTTAGTCCCAGCATTCTGGAAGCAGAGACAGGTGGATCTCTGCGAGTTCAAGGCCACTTTGGTTTACGCAGCAAATTTTAGGACAGCCAGGCCTACACAGTGAAACCCTGTCTCAAAAAAACACAAAAAAGGGGTGGGGTGGGGGTGGAGAGATGGCTCAGTGGTTAAGAGCACTGACTGCTCTTGCAGAGGACCTGGGTTTGGTTCCCAGCACCCACCTGACAGCTAACAGTCATCTGTAACTCCAGTTTGGGGGATCCAACGTCCTCTTTGGTCTTTCCTCAGGCACTGCATGCACCTAGTATGCTTACATACATTTGGGCAGAACTCTCATACACACAAAATAAGTAAATAAACAAACGGTAAATAAATTTCAAACAAAATGAAACCAGAGGGCTAGAGAGATGGTTCAGCAGGTAATGGCACTGGCCTGCAACCCTGGCAACCTGTTTGATCTTTGGATGCAAGAGCAGCAAGTGCTCTTAACGACTGAGCTACCTCTCTAGCCCTAAAATGCAGTGTTTTCCATTTTGTTTGGTTTTGCTTTATTTTGTTTTGTTTTGTTTGAGACAAGGTTCCGCTATGTAGCCCTGGCTGGTCTAGAGCTCCCTATGCAGACCAGGCTGGCTTTGAACTCACAGAGATCCACCCGCCTCTGCCTCCTAAGTACTGAGACTAAAGGTGTGTACCACCAAGCCGGGCTCTAAAATTAGATTTTTTTAAAAAACAAAATGAGACTGGAGAGATGGTTCAGGAGTTAAAAGCACATACTACTTTTTCAGAGGAGCTGAGTTTGGTTCTCAGAACTCATATGCAACAGCTCACAACTGCCTGTAACTCCAGCTTCAGGGGATCCCACACTCTCTTCTGGACTTTGTGAGCACTGTACTTGTGTACATACACTCACACAAAGACACATATCCACATAATCATAATATAAAAAATAAGGGGCTGGCAAGATGGTTCAGCAGTTAGAAGCACTTGCTGCTCTTGCAGAAGATCCAGGTTCAGTCCCAGTACCCACATGGCAGCTAACAACTGTTCATAACTCTAGTTCCAGAAGATCTGACCCCCCTCTTCTGGCCTCTATGGGTACTTATATACATGCAGGCAAAACATTCATGCACATAAAATGACTAAGAATGTTTAAAAAGATAAAAAATAATAATAAAAAAAAATCTTAGCCAGATTTTTCATGCGTGCCTTTAGTCCCAGCACTAGAGAGAAAGAGGCAGGTGGATCTCTGTAAGTTCAAGGCCAGCCTGGTCTACATATTGAGTTCCAGGCCAGCTGGGGCTACAGGTAGACCTAGTCTCAAAACAACACCCTCGCCGGGCGTGGTAGCCCATGCCTGTAGTCCCAGCACTTGGGAGGCAGAGGTGGGCAGAATTCAAGGCCAGCCTGGTCTACATAGTGAGTTCCAGGACAGCTGGGGCTACAGGGAGACCCTGTTTCAAAAAGACCAAACAAAACAAAACACCCCCCCAAAAAAGTTGGATGTGTGTACTGCACAATCTGTAATCCCAGCACTGCTGTGGTAAAATGGGAGGTAGAGACAAAATTCCTGGAAGGCTATGTATGGATCAGCTAGCCTGACTTGGGCAGCAGTGAAAATGGGCACAAAGTTATCCTCTGATCTGCATTTGAGGGTCTCTCTCTCTCTCTCTCTCTCTCTCTCTCTCTCTCTCTCTCCCACACACACACACAAACACACACACACACAGACATATCCAAA